TGCTGGAGTCTGCTGCCAGCTCGTGGGGCCATCAGGTAAAACCCTGCTCTTCCTCCTGCTGCTCCCAGGGGCTCTGCCCAGCACAGGGATGAACTCTGTCGCTTGAGAAAGAAGCATGCAGGACACATTTTGTGGGGCAAAAAGCAAGGATCCATCCCTGTTTATTTAAGGATGCAGCACATGTTTAATGGTGCAAAAGGAAAGGGTCGATCCCTTTTTATAATGATGCAGGACACATTTTATGGGGTAAAAAGAAAGGATCCATCCCATTTTATTTAATGATGCAGGACACGTTTAATGGTGCAAAAAGAAAGGATTGATCCCATTTTATTTAATGGTGCAAGACACATTTTATGGGGTATAAAGCAAGGATCCATCCCTGTTTATTTAAGGATGCAGAAGACATTTTATGGTGCAAAAAGAAAGGATCCATCCAATTTTATTTAATGATGCAGCACACATTTTATGGGATAAAAAGAAAGTGTTGATCCCATTTTCTTTAAGGATGCAGGACACATTTAATGGTGCAAAAAGCAAGGATCCATCCATTGAAAACAGAGATCAAAAGCTCGGGCAGGCTTCTTTGAGATGCAAACCTCTCACCTGGTGTTTTCTTTTCAAAAATCCTCACACCCACATTTTCTGGATACTTTGGTGGGTTTGGGCAGTGTTTTCCGTAGGGATGTGGTGGGATTTGCAGGAGCTGTTGTGTCCTGGCATGACACACCCTGGGCACGTTCTGTACAACCCCTTTCAAAAAGGAGTTTAAACCCTTTAAAACCCTTTTTGAAAAGGGGTTTAAACCCTTTAAAATAGTATTTAAAAGGAGTTTAAACCCTTAAAAACCCTTTCAAAAATGGGTTTAAACCATTAAAAACCCTTTTTAAAAGGGCATTTACCTGTGCCAAAGCAAATTTTGGGAGCTGTGCCTCTGCTGTGTGTAACAAAGAGCAGCTGGGACAGTAAATGTGAATTTAATTCCACCTGATGAGGGAGCAGAGGGAATTTGTTGTTTTATCTCACAGCAAAGAGCTGCAGAACTGGTGGGGTTTGTGTTTGCTGTTGGACAAACCAACCCAGGGATGGATTTTCAGTGTGAGGATTTGTTTAAGGATGGAATTGTTCCGGAAGCACCAAAAATTATCACGGAATCATGGAATGGTTGGGGTTGGAAGGAGCCTTAAAGTCCATCCCGTTCCACCGCTGCCATGGGCAGTGTGAAAAATGCGGATTTTATGATTGGCTTTTGGCAAATATTCAATTGAATTCTATATGTGTTGTGGAGAGTTAGTTTGTAATACTGCAGTAATCCTTTTTAAATAGTGTGTTAAAAATCTATTTTTAGGTTACAACACAATGTTAAAATAGAAACTCTGCGATATATTTTTTCCTAGCTCAAGAAAGGGATGAGATAATCAAGAAACTCTTCACACAGAGATAACAGCAACAGGGCACCTAAAGAGTTTCTGCCTCCTTATCAGAACAGACAAACATCCTTCCACCTCCTCTCTGTCTTTATGGAACCACCAGGGTTAAGGGGAAGAAGTTCACAAAACCCAGAAAAGTTCTTAATTTGCAAGGAATTCCCCCCACATCCATAGTCTCTATTTTAACATGATGTTGGAACCTGAAACTGTATTTAACATGCTACTTAAGAGAATTAATACAGCATCACTTTCTAACATTACACATATAATATTCATTATAATATTTGCGAAAAGCCAATCATAAAATACGCATTTTTCACGTGTTCCTAAAAGCTGTTTTTCAGTTTTTATACTCTTCATTATAAACCCAGCTAACTAAACATTGTGTTGACAAGCAATTATTAGTTAACTACTAAGCCTTAACTTCATCCAGGCCTACTCGTTGATTTTAATGAACTCTAGCGAGACTTATCTCTAACTAAAACGTCTAAATTGTAAATCTCTAACTAAAATCTTTAAATTATAAGTTTTATCTCCTCTAAAATCTCTAAATTCCTTAAAATTTGTGTTTCCCAACAGCTCGGACACTTCAGGGATGGGCAGGCAGAGAGTGAGGAACCCTCGCAGCTCCCGGGGCCGGATTTTCCCAACCCCAACACCTGGGACACACCCAGGGATGGGCGGGCAGAGGCTTTTGTCAGTGAGGAGCGCTCGCAGCTCCTTGCCCGGTTTTTTTCCCAAGGAAATTTCCTAAGGAATTCCTAAGGGATTTCCTAAGGGATTTCCTTAAGGAATTAAGCGCATGGGAACCTTTGTGGCGTAGCGCTGCTTCCCGCCGGGGCCGCTCGGGCGCTGCGCGCAGGCCGCGGCTCCCCGCGCGCTGATTGGCGGGCGGGCGCGCGCGGTGCGCCGCCTCGCGGTGTCCCCCGTGGGGCGGAGCAGGCCGCGGCCGCGCCCGGGGCCGGTTCGGGGCCGGTTCGGGGCGATCCCGGGAGCCCCGCCCAGGCCCGGGCCATGGCGGGCGGCCGTGGCGGCGGGAAGGCGGCCGTGGTGCTGCGCTGCGAGTGGCAGCAGTGCTCGTTCGCGGCGGAGGGGATGGAGGAGTTCTGCGGGCACATGGCGCAGCACCTGCGGCAGCACCTGCCCGGAGAGCAGCGCGCCCAGATGGACCCGCTGGGTGAGGGGGGCTCGGGGCGGCTCCGGGGGCTCGGAACAGGCCCCTGAGGGGAGGGCACAGCCCGCTGGGAACGGGCAGCAGGAGGGCATTGCCGCCCGGGGATGCTCAGCGAGGACCTGAGGGGGAATTTCCACACGGAAAGGGCGGCGGGGCTGCACGGGGAGGGTTTGCCCAGGGAAGGTTGGGGTGCCCAGGTTTGGAATGCCCAGGGAGGGTTGGGGTGCCAAGGGAAGATTGGGGTGCCCATGGAGGGTTGGAGTGCCCAGGGAGTTTTGGGGTGCCCAGGTTTGGGTGCCCATGGAAGGTTGGG